TCACAGATTCCATATGGTATTACAGCGCTATTATTCTTTGCCTTTGTGGGAGGAGGGTTCGGTTCTTTAATCGTTTTAATCTAAGCTAAGTAACTAAATCGAAAAGACCTATTAAATTTCGGATTTAATAACTGAAACTTGTTTATTAGTTTTTCGTGCCTTACTATCTAAACTCTACCCGAATTGCTAGTTGGCATTTAAGGGGGTTATTTATTTGAGTTATGAACGGACAGGCGGATGGATGAGCGGTGTTTAATACATTATCCACACGAGTATACAAATTTAAAATTTTTTTTAGTAAACTCATTTCTTTTTTATCCCAATTAGTGACACAGATTTTGCGTTAGTGAAAGTTTTACTTATATTCTTTCACTATCAACTGCTACATGCGAGTACCAAATGCATGCGGATTAGGGTGGTCCTGGAAATATCAATATATAAATATTGTATGGGACACCACGTTAGCCAAACAAACAAAGCACGCCAATCGTTTCTCTTCTGTGTGCTTACTAACGCCAATTGGAACTGCAAGTGAAGCCAGGTCCTTCTCCACCTGGCCTTTTCGTCGTAGAGTTTTTCATTGTCAATGTCTCCGCATCATACACCAGCCCCGGCATGACGAGTGACTTACAGATTTTGATTTTGGTACGATGAGAGAGGACTGTACTTCTCAACTCAATGCCAATATTATTATTATTTGTGTTAATGCTGGTTCCTAAATAAATAGTAATCAATTAAAGCATTGGTAGTGGCCCGGAAATATTTTGTAAATTTTTGAGGAATTCGTTATTTTGTACACAGAATATAGAAAATTAAGATTTTCTTTTTTAAGTACCACCCTAATGCCCATACATAAACTTAAATATCAATGCACGTACAGAAATATATTTATGTAGGTATGTATGTATATGTGCTATTTTTTCTATACCACATTCAAGTATTTGTGTTTTCTGAAATTCCTGCGCTGTTTTTCTGTTGGGTTTAGTGATTTATTTCCATTTTGCTAAATGCGACTTTCATTAAAAATCCAGTCGTCATATGGCATGAATGCTTGGAATTGTAGGAAGCTGGCGCGCGTGTATACGTGTATCGTATGTATGTACATTCTTATGTGAGTGTGTGGTTTTTATGGAATGTGTCGCCAAAAACATAAACGTCGAAAAATGAGTGTAATGTGTAAAAAGCAAAATTAATTACAAATGCGTGAAAATTATGGTATTCTTACATATGTGGGAGTCACATGTTTCAAAACTGGCACACAAAACGTGACAACGGTCTTATTAATGTGGTTATGGGAAATATATTCCCCAAACAAGAATTTTTTATTTGACCAATGTAACAACAATTCGATTAAAGCATTTACATTTTTGTACATAAATATATACGAGTATATATGCTTGTTGTTTATACGCATTAATGTATGTATCTACGTAAAATAAATTTTGTATACTAAGTGGTGGTTATTATAGTGAGAATGATTTTTTTTTTTGAAAATTGATTGAATTGGTGCTCGGTTTTGCAGTTGCAGCGCCTTCAAACACCTTTCGAACTGTAAAACAATGACTAAATTCTATTCTACGCATACCTATAATGCGGGTATCGAATTTCAAGCAAATTGGACCATAAATAAGATTTTTTTCGAATAGATCGGTCCCTGGTCCACCTATCAGAAGAAAGTATCCTATATGTTAATCCAGGCAATAAGCTACCTGCGGGCCAAATTTCAAGCAAGTCGAACCATAAATAAGATTTTTTCGAATAGACCGGTCCCTGACCCACTTAACGGAAAAAATTGATCCTATATGCTAATCTAGGCAAAACGCTACCTACGTACTAAATGCAGTTTTTTAGCGTAGCTTGACCCCTACGCCACCTATCGGAAAAATTAAAACTTTGTGCACTCCTCCTTTTAAACACCTTTCCAAAAACGCAGCAACCATTCGAATCGGTTGTGAAACATAGGAGAAAATTGTTCCGATATTGATTCATGCTCACAATGAATTTCACAATTATCCGAAATTTTTCAAGCTTCACAACGAATTTTCCACATTTACTTCGTCCAAAATTATTAAATCGTGCGATAAAATGAAAAATTTCGTCGAAAAAATTCAAATTTATCGCGTTCTGCCGGATTTTTCCGATTTTTCAACTTAGAATTTTCTATTTTTCCATTCGAAAGCCATTCCGAAGGATCCGAAATCAATTTTCGATTTTCCCAATTTCACAGCTTTCCCGGAGGGTTTCCCCAAAATTTTCTTTCGTAAGAACCTTGTCCTGGCAATTTCGAACAACAAAAAAACAAAAACTTAGCCAAATCAGCCCAACCGTTCTCAATTTATGATTTACTATAAATTTTTCACACCATTTTTATATATCGTAGTTTAAAGTGCAAAACCGCGTATCAGCAAAATGCAAAACCTCGTATCAGCAAAATGCAAAACCGAGTATGTAAAGTTGTAGAAATAATTTTCTAAAGCATAAAAACACTCATATTTCAAAATGGTTCTATTTTTTATAAAGCAATCGCATTTCTGGCTAGTATATTTCAGGACGAATGGCTAAGGATTGAGCCAAGAGCTTGTGTGAGCAAATCCAATTTTTGGCAGCCAGACCACGTTAAAAAAAATGTCGCAAAATTTTTTTGGAGTATTTTGAAAATTAAAAAAGGCTCCTTTGAAACTTGAAAAATCTGAGCCAAATCAAAAAATAATAACATAACTTCGGTGTGTATTTTTTATGTATGTATATACATATATGTATAGAAAATTTATTTTCTAACTACGAATAACTTTTTGTTATTTCCATATGGCGTTGTAGTACTTCGTAACCTACTGAGCAAAAAACCATACTAGTGACCCTGGCACATTGCAGCTGAATATGTTTATGTATTTAAATTTTGGTTCAGTTGCATAAATATTTTCTGAAATAAACTTAACCAAATAAAATAAAACAACACAATGTTTATGCAAAACATTAAACATATTTTAATATACTTTTGTAGTTCATTTTACTTTTCGCTCAGCACATGTGTAATTCACTGGAAATTTTATTCAACTTTCGACTCAAAACATGTACGAATACTATGTACCAAAGTTATAACAGCTTGGTGTATTCGCTCTTGAAAAGTAAACAGTTAGGCCGTAGAAGTCTGAAGCTTTATGCCGCCTTCAAACGGCGGATAATTTTTTTCGAGTAACTTTAATAAAAAATCTAGTTTTTTGTGCTGGAAGGACGCGGTGCAGAAAGTAAATATGTATGTATGTATTTACTTACATATGTTAACGCATGCCAAAGTGCAATCCTTTTCAAGCTCTATTTTTGCACACTTTCAGCAAGTTTCGAACTCAAATCCAACTTCCAATATGACAAGCATAAACACAATACGCCTTACTCTCTGTATGTATTTTTGTATGTCTTTACATATTTTTTTGCATAAGCATTTGCAAGCAGTCTGAAGTAAATGCAGTATAATTTTTTTTTTGCATTTCGCTCATATTTACCGCTCTGTCGCATATGAAAGTGCCAGCATTTTCCACAGTTATCTGAAGAGTTTTTTGATGTGGATTTTTCGCTTTTGCAACGCTGTGGAAAAAGGGCACATTTACATACATCGGTATTGTAATTGTAAACCAACTTTAGCGGTCGTGTAGTGGTTTCTGCTTGACCTAAAAGTAAGAACTCTCGAATACTTTACTCTAAGGTCCCATAAAAATAAAATGTTTGTAAGTCAGAAAATAAACGACTTCATAAAAGCGTTCTCGTGATTTTTGGCATGATATTACTGAGATGAAAGTCTCTTTATGACCTTTGTCACTTGGATCTTTAATACCTCTACAATAGTTGCGTCAGCTTTCTGATTTCAGAGAAGCTCATTGATTTTCATCGAATGATCACGAAGAGCTAGGTTACAGAAAAAATGTTGAGCAAACCAAGGCTTCAGTACCGGTTTAGTAAATTTGGTTGACCTCGTTGCCGGGCAAACTCCGGCGCTTGTTCGTAAGAATCAAGGCTACCTGGCCGTGTTCGTAGGCTCCTCATCACATTTTTATGTTTGGGTTAAAATCTTGTAGCATATCTACGATATCTGCTGGTTTACATGGTTTAAAGGATACTAATCTTAGTTATATCTTTTCCCCTGAATCTATACTTTTACCAATTTCGGCGCTTTACTGGTTCATTCAGTGATGTTTATGACCTCCCGATTGTTTACTTTCCCAATGATGAATACAGTCTCGACCCTCATCAATGGCTTTACTCATTTTTGACTCCATAAGCGAGTACATTTTTTTTCGATTCGCAGAAGAGTATCTTCCTGCACTCGCCTCGGCCCAAAAACCACCTACAGGAGATTTACCAAACGCTGTTCGCTGAGTGCTGAGCCTACTAGTGGACGCCACACGACACTCGTTCATCAAGATGGTATTGTAACTACCCCGAACAGGCTCACCAGACTTATGGCAAAGAGTGCTCGGCGCACAGTTGCAAAAGGCTTTTCAACGTATTTAAATTGTTGTGGATAGGGCTGCCTTTAGATTTCCATTACTAAGCGGTACCTCGATACTATATTCTTCTGATTATCGACTTCCATCCCTGGTCCGATTAACATCTAAATTAGGAAAACGTTTTTCGAGCAGCGGCAAACCTCTGAGTATATTTGTGCTATGAAAAAGGTTCATGTAAAATCCATTTGACATTTGAAGGCAGCGTAAAACTGTAGGCCGCTCCATTTATGTAACAAATTACAGGAGATGATCGGCCAAATACTTAGCAAAAGTGCAAGCGCCAAAATATTATTACTAAACTTGGATGGCTTGGAAGTTGAATGCTGATTACACTTCAGTGTCGCCTAGGCATTACAGGGTTAATACCAATTTATTTTGATAAAGTATACAAACAGTTTTATATTAAGTAATTTCCTTCGCCACGAGGCAATTTTTTATTGAAATATTTCAATACATAAAGTACAATAAAATAAATAGCGAATAAATAAATAGCTAATAGTTAATTTACCCTAAATAAATAAATAAAATAGTTTTTGTAGCATTCTGACCTGTCGAAGCAATTAAAAGTAAATACGAATGGATAAGTAAACACCTTTTTGTAATTAAATATTTTATAAAACTAATTTAGGTAAATACTAATACATCTGCGTGAAATCTCTTTTGCAAATATTTGTCATTATGGTCAGGTTTTTGCAATTAAAATCCATTAATTTATTTTATGGACATCGGTCCTTACACATTCCACCAAAACACGCATATGCATAAAATTCTTGTATATATAAATTTAACTAAATAAGCAGTTTGCGGCGAAGTTTTACAGCCTCACCACTTCAACACCTTGGGTTGTAAACAGCGATTCCGCAGCTAATTTCAATTTCTCATTAACTAGTTTAGCAATTTTCGGTGTGCGCCGCCAGACAAATTCACGTGTGCGGTCATGATTGTCCTTGCTCTCGACCTCCACCTGTCAAAACGACGAGAGGGAAAGGTAAAGGAGATTTAATAAATTGTGCGTAGCATAAATAATATCCAATATTGAATGTAAAAATGAAATTGTGAAAAACGGGTTGTAGACAGAAACGTGCTGGTAGTTTATAACTGCCATATGCACCTACATACATACACATCTAACTATGAATATTTAAGGGATTTGAATTCAAAAATGCTGAATAAAACAAAAATGTCGACAATCGGCCATCTTTTTCACATATTTTTTCAACATTTGCTCACCCAACTAACCTGTTTCGGCTGCTGCACCTTAATGGACATCAATGTGGCGCGATCGTTGACAACACTAAATTTGATGCGCCCAATCATCTCGTTTGTACGCGCTGTAGCGCTTTTCACACTATGCACGCTACCGCGTTTGAATGACTTTTCCACGCGCAAAGTCAATGGGCCCAAAGTGAATTTGGCCTTTATGGTTGAGTTGGAGCCTTCCGGATCGGCGACCACTTTCACATTGCCGACACGCTTCAATGAAGCCAGCCCAGAGAGGCTGCCTTCAGCTTTTTGCAGCTTTTCAACTTCCTTGCCAATTGCGACGTTGTTGTTATTGCCGCTACTTTTCGTGTTCTGTTTTAGTTTTGAACCTGCGCTGTTGTTGTTGTTGTTGTGGGCATTGCTGGTAGTGGAATGATTTTTTTTGGTATGTGTCTTGTGCGCTTTGTTTGAAGTTTTCTTTTGACTCTCAGCCCTATTAGCGTCCCCATTTAATACGGTGCGCATTTCCGGTGAATTGGCGGCCGTGTTGAGGGCGTCGCCGGTATTTGCCGGTAATTTAGCATCACCGACAGTCGACATTTTTTCAGCAGCCACTGCTTTGATGCTTTGCTCCTGTTGTAATTGTAACTGTTGCAGTTGTTCCTGTAATTTGCTTTGGGTCTTGGCATCACTCATTTCCATGCGGCGTGGCTCTTCATCCAGAGAGCGTGGCTCTGATTTAGTATTTTTTCTGTGAAGAAAGAGAGAGAGAGGATTAAAATAGAGGGAGTGAACGCAATCAAGTTGAAATTTAATTTTAATTCTGACAGAGATCTTTACAAGCCACTTCAAATAAACATGCACCTTCTTTGCTGATACATTGGTACAAAAGAAGAACACTCATTTCCGAGCTCTGATAACCCTGCAGGTAAAATAAGAGAGATAGCATTTAGTGCCTTTTTCTTATATAGGTTTTGACATTTTTCTGCCCTTATCCCTTTAAATAAATTTTTTCAAAACAAAGCTTGTTTTTAAAGCGCATATAAATTTAATTTAGGCGTTTAAAAAAATGTGAAACTTTCTGGCTTGATTATTTTTAATGAAAAAAAGTGGTGGGCTTTACTATTGAATAACTCAGTGAGAGGGGAGACCGGTATGTTTGCATGTATGTATTTATATAAAAAAAAATATTTATTGGTTCAAAAATGGTGGGTAGGCCATTGGCCACAGTGCAAAGTTCGTTTGCCACCTCTGCATGGTTGTAAGTCATGCAGAGTTCGCAAAATGCTCCGGAAGCAGTGTCCGGAGGATGCATCAGCATGCAGAGCATACTTTGAAGTGCCATCTAATTGGAACTTAAGAAAGTTCAATTACATGGCAGTTGAGAAGTGCATGTGCAAAAATTTCCTAAATTGCATAAAGGAAATTTTTGCACATGCAGCAGTACATAGCATTTATTTAGGCGCCTGGTGTTAGCAGACGCGCCTAAACATACCGGCCCCCCTAGACGATTTGGTCGTCTACTGAATGTGACATAGCCGCAAATATCCGGCTCGAAGGACCATGAATAACTCAGTGAGAGGGGAGAACGGTATGTTTGCATGTATGTATTTATATAAAAAAAAAATATTTATTGGTCCAAAAATGGTGGATAGGCACTGTGGCCAATGGCAAAGTTCGTTTGCCACCTCTGCATGGTTTTAAGTCATAAAAGTAAAATCATCAAATTATCTTGCAAGTGTTCGCTCCAAACTGGGGCGCACTTGGACTTAGGTTCCGCAGGACCTCATAAGTGAAATGAATTAATAAACTGCACTGCAGGGACGCTAAAATAAAACAAAAAACCGCCGAAACTTAATTTTGGGCCGTATACTTCGGATCTGTATACCCTTTTTCTAGAATAGCTAATTTTTCCAAGATATTTTCATTTTAAGTTTGGATTGTAAATGAAAAAATTCAAAGTTCAAAAAATTTGTTAAATAAAATACTCGTACATGGCGTATGGGTAATATTCTTTCCTGCTCATATTTCATTTGACCATTCACATGTTTTATAAATATCCATCGCTTTTCTTCGTCAGTAGCTTAATGTTTTTGTAAAGGGAAAGGCTTTGTTATAAATGAACAAAATTTACATAACATGTGAGAGCTCCGAAATTTTGGATTCCCAAATTCCTTTGGACCAAAATTCTGGAACAAATATTAAAAGAGCATCTAAATTCTGTTGGGTCAAACCTTTTAAAGACTAAACGATGCAGAGAAAATATTCTGGGTATTAAAACTCTGGATACAAATTTATTGTGGACCATAATTCTGTATTTTTTTAGTACTGTAAAAAATTCCGGATTATTGGTTTGTAGTCAGAGGCTTTCTGTTCGCCAACTCCTTCACAAAATCATTTTCTTTCACGAAATGGAAGGTTTTTTCTGAATATTTTATAGTTTTTTGTTTGTTTTCAAAAACTTTTGTCACAAGTCGCGACCAAAATTTATATTGTAGTATTTTAGAATAGACCGAATTAAATATTGCGCTTGCTCCAAATGAAAAACAATCCATCAACACATAGTTGGCATATATTTTCCCTTTTCGACTTAACAGCATACATTTTTGTCACATTTATTAAAACATAAAACACAGAAAAATTTATATTATCTTTATTTGTAAATTGCACTAAGTCTGTTCCAGGCACTTAAGGATTTGTAGGTTTTATAGGAATCGGTTGAATCTGTGCCCGTAACGTTAAGCTAAAGGGCTGCGAGAAATGATATTTGATTTTATCTTTTGCGTTAACGGATTCATTATCTAATAATATGTACCAAACCTTCTTGCTGAACCCAGAATTTTTAACAAGAATTGATCTCTTTCGACTAGTGTGCTGTGGGTCTTACAATTAAAATCAAAGACTAATATTTTGCAGGCTTGTTGTTGACTTCATGATACAATATATTTTCGCTATTACCAAGGGATTTGAGAAAAATTAAATTTTCGACCCGCCCTAACGGTCAAACATATCTATATACTTATATAATCGCGAAGGCATTTTTTGTTCAACATGGAAGATCTGCACCGTTCGCTCGATTTTCAAATATGGGGTGTCAAATTAAAGCGCTTGGCCTGTAGATGTGCAAACTGGTTTTAGTTTTTCGAACAGAGTTGCCAGCTGTAGAACAATTGTATTCAAATTATTTAATAAGCAATGCCATAACAGCCGCGCTGCTTGCTCGATTTTCCTAAATGAGGTGCCAAATTAAAAGGCTTGGACTGCTGATATGCAATGAGGGTTTACTTTTTTGAAGAAAGTTGACACCTTTTAAAAAATTATGTATTAATTATCTAAAAAAAATGAAGTAATACATATCTGGCATCAATGGAAATGGTTTTGAAAATCTTTCTTTCTTAATTTAACTTTAGGAGGGTTGCTACCTGTTCAGAAAATCAAATTAAATTTGAATTAAATAAATTAAATAGGAAACAAATGTTCCAACATGTGGGTGCCAAACGAAAGGTGGCTCAGAAAGTAGCAGTTTGAAAGTATTTTGAAGTGGGTTGCCACCTGCTTCAAATGTCGAATTCAGTTAACTTTCCCAAAAGTTATATGAAATGTCAAAATTTGGATGTCAAACGAGAGAATGTTAGCAAGTCTTTAGTTTAAACATAAATAATATTTTTAAAGTGTTGGAAGAGGGTTGCCACCTGTCCAAAAATTTATTTGAAATTACTAAATAAGTTAAATGAGTTATTAAAATATGACGTTAAACGAAGGTGGTAAGATCTCCTTAGTTTGAATATTTAGAATATTAAAGAGGGTTGCCACCTGTTAAAAAGGTAAACTAAAATTATTTAATAAGTTAAAGCAATTATCAAAAATATGTGCATAAACTGAAATGGGCTTAAAAAGACTTTATTTCTGAACTGTATTTATGAGGGTTGCCAGCTGTTTCAGAAGCCTTAGTTAACTTATGCAAAAATCCGAAGAAGAAGATAATGGAAGACGAGCACAAACACGAAGAAAAATTTTAATACGTGGACCTAGGCTAATATAAAAAGCAATACAAATTTCTGCAGTATGAAAGGAAATAAAACTGAATCGAAGTATAAGCTGATGGTACATATGATTGAAGTTGATGTGGATCTGCTTCTCTATTGCTAATTATTAATATTTTGCAATTCATATTGACTTATTAATTCTACATTCAATGTAATCAAAACGAACATTTCATGTACCGTTTTTAACTTGAATGTGATTATAATAATATCACGTATTCTACGTTTAAGTTTGGCGGCTGTGGCTCCGACACAGGCTCAATGCCAAGTCTAAGGCGCTGGACTGATCCTTTTTCGTTCAATTGGCTCTCATTGCACAAGTCGTGAATAAGACTAAATTGCACTACTCGACAACACTGGCATTTGCTACTGTCGTGCAGAAATAAGTAGACGAGAAAATTCGTCGAAAACAATCCAGTGCTGCCATGTTTCCCCGTTTTAATACACTAGTCGAATGGAAATTTTAAGCAATGCTATGCAATTTTCAATGCGACTAGACTCTCGAAAAGCGACTTGGATTCCACGGACACTCACAATGAATCGTGCTGAATACCTACAGGTATCATACAAATTATGCACACATAGACACACCTGCACAATAATCGCACACCTGTGGTAATTCAATTAAGCTGTTTAACTCAAAATGTTACCCTCCCAAGTACTTACAATTTAGTTTTTGTTGCCGATTTTGCTGGTTTGGCTTTTGTTGACCCGGTCGTATGCCCTCCCGCTGTGCTGCCTGCTGTTGTCACTTTCTTGGTCGCCGATCTGGCATGCAAGCGCACTACAAAGGGATCGTAATTGTTGGCCACAATCCGATTGATGCGCGAGAATATCGAATCGATGAATTGATTGTGTCGCTCCTGGAAGGCGTCGTTCGTCATTTCGATAATGTTGTTCTTCAGGTTTCCTAGATACATATTGATGAGTTTATAGGCTTATTAGTGAATATTAGCGTATTTATACGGCATGTGGTTTTGTATGTTCTTAGCAACTACATATGTATATAAATTAGTATTTTATGTAAACAAATTTTGATATTATAACGTAATTGCTGGTAATTTTCGTTTATAAATCAATATTACTACGCAAACAAATCTAACAGCTGTCTGCTGTTAATAGCCGTAAGCAGCCTAATTTTACCGTTTTAGTATTGATTCAAAAGCGCTTAGGAAACCACTAATCAAGAGAAGTAACTTAGCTTTTGAACTGCTTATTAATTATGCAATAAATAGCCAAAATTATGTACTTAAGCGTCTGTTGTGTTATTAAAGCGGTGGTTAATATTTATAAATATTATGTTTCGTAGATGGAATTAAAAACAAGTTAGATAGAGTTACATACATATTAGTAATAATAGTTTGTATTTTTTGTCAGATTTAATACAAATATGTTATAATTGTTAAAATCGATATGGATTTGAAAAAGTATAAGCAATTGAATTAATTGTTTTGACTTTTTTTCAAATCTGCTTCATTCTGTAAACTTAAAGGTTAGTCCATAAATAAATGTTTAAAATAGCTAAGAAAGGATCAATATCACATACAGGTACATAGCTCCCATATAACTGATTGTTCCGATATGAGGGAACTTGAGAAAATCATTAAGATAAGTTTTCTTAACGGTATCACCCGTATACCAGATTATTCAGATATACTTTTTGGGATATAAGAACTCCATTATTTAGAAGCCAAAAATATGAAATTTTTTGAGCTATGTACCAACCAGTTATAAGAGGTAAACTTAGAAAACTATGACTACAACTTATAGCTCTCATATAGCTGATTGCTCAGATATGAGAAGTTGTTTTACAATAGCTTAATTTTGATATCTAGAACGTTGAAATCTTGTGAGCCATTTCAATTAGGGATGCCAAAATATCGGGAAAATTGGGATCCCGGGATTTCAGGATATTTTTTAGGTAATCCCGGGATCCCGGGATTTATCCCGGGATTCAAATTGAGTCATAAATTTTATGAATATGAGTAAAAACTCAATATCTGAAAGCATTTAAACATACCATTAAATAAAACTATTTAAAATTTACGATAAACTGATTGTAAAACTCATATATCGCTAGCTTAGAGTGAAAAGTTGCTAACTTCACTTTTAATGAAAAATCATATTTTGATATAGGATGCTAGATAAATTAAAATTGCATCGTTTCGAAAAGGGTAAAGGTTTATAAATAAACATGTACACGACACATTTACAAAACCGGCACTCAAGTACACAATACATTGACAAAAACAGTACTAGACTGTCTCGCTTTGATTTCGGAATGCTTACACATTGAGATGTTAGCTTACTATCAATATAGAAGTATTACATATATGTAAATATCGAATCCCTCCGATTCGTATATAGTTTTGCTTTGCTTTAAACAGGCAAAATGTTGTATTCAAAATTTTGCGAAATATTTGAAGAAAATGGCTATACGAAGTTATTTCCTCTCCTGTACAATTTTTAAATTGGGACTTAGCAACTTTGCACTCTACGCTAGCGATATTTATTAAATCAGACAAATTTTAAAGTAAAACATTTTTTTAATTGTATTTAAAAAACCATGTGATTGAGGAACGTGTACATCACAAATAATAATGTAAATACCACGTACTTTTGAAAGTGACGATTAATAAAAAAAACATAAAACAAAAATATACAAAAACAATTTCTCTAAACATAAAGAGAAACATATAAAGAAATGGCGAATGGAGAATTTTTTGCCATTTTTTTCGCAATTTACCAGCAATTTTGAGGGTGTATGAGTCAACGGATCTCAGAATCGGATTCAGCGGGTCGAAATACATGTTGGTAGTTGGGTCTGGTTAAAAACACACACCCCCTTTTTTGCCGGTGTTGTTATTATTGCACTTAAAATGTTTTCATAAGAGCAGCAAAGCATTCAAAGCGGAGTCTTCTAAGCTTGGCCTGCAGTTTTTACGTACAAAACCTACTGATGAAAAACATATTTCGGCATTAACACTTTTAGGCTGAACTATCAAAAGGTAGACATAATCCATTTGAAGATAATGACCCCTATCTCCTCCATTACAAAATATTTGAACTTCTTTTACCAGCACGTCGGTCAGATTATAAGTTTTTCGATTTGAGGAAGTTTTGAGTAGATTGATCTAAAAAATTATCTAACTTTCCGAATTCAATTTTGAATAAATTAGCCTTATTATTTACTGATTTATCGAAGATTTCGTATTTCTCCAAATTACCGTTATATGGGAGGTAGGCGTGGTTATTGTCCGACACCTGTCCATTTTCAACACCATCCGTCCTACGTCCGAAAGAAGTGCACGTACAAAGTTTCTTTAAGATATCTCAATTTTTACTCGAGTTATCGTGTGCACAGGCGGACCGCCGGACGGACAGACAGTCACCGCTTAATCGATTTCTCTTTTCATTCTGGTTACTTATGTATACATTTGTCTATATCTATCTCGATTCGTTTTACCTGTTACAAACAACCGTTATGTGAACAAAGTTATAATACCCTTGTGCACAAGTGCGCTCGGGTATAAAAAATAACGCGCAAGGTTAAAGGTCAAGTGTCTGTCAAATGAGATGGGTTGTCTTTACATTTGATATTGACACATGGCAAATAAACATGGTAGGTATTACCATGTTTAACAAAAAGAAAACAGTGGGTACATTTATCTATTCAAATTGGTTGAAACGAACCTTTAAACTTTTATGGAAAGTGGTTCGGTTTTCGGTTCGGATCAAACATTTGTGGAAAATTTCGGTTCGGTTAATGGTTCAGTTAATAAATAGAAAAAAAGCGATTTTCCGGTTCAAAACTGGTTCACGTCCCTGGTAGTAACACCATATTGGCTTTGAATGCAGTAGGGGGTTAATATTGGCATTTTATTTTGGTTGCGTCTGTATGGCCCTTTAAATTTTATACATAATTATTATTTTTAAGTGGAAAAACAAAACTCAATAATAACACAGTAGGAATGCTAAAATGACAAAAAAAACGTCGAGACAAGTCAACTTAATTTTGAGCTTTCCAAGATATTTTTTTTTTAAGTTTGCACTACGAATGAAAAAAAGTTCAAACTTTAAATATACCTTGTTTATACCTACGCAAGAACCGTATTAACAAAAAGCTGATTTGACTCAACACATATTTCTTTCAAGTATTTATACCTCGGTCTTTATTTCGCACGATGAAGCCGTATTCAAAAGTAAACCAAATGTGCTGTTTTTATACGACATTTCTTTAATAACTAACTTGCGCGGTTGACCGAAATGGAAGCGAACAATAATTCAAATTTAATATAATAATAATTCAAATTTAAAAGGGGATGTTTAAAGAAAGTCAGCCTTTTTTCACTTCGCGTCAAATGAATGATGCGTTTATACCTGTTTTCTAACCGATGTGAGAATTAAAAAACCGATTTGAAAACAAATTCGAGTCAATACACTTTTGAATTTCTGAGAGTATTGAAATTTGGTTTATGCATACGTTTTGAGCCACGGTGAAGTGGGTTAAAGCGCTTTATGTATCGGTATATACAAAGTAATAGAAAATATTACTCACTCGCCATGTACGAGTTTGTACCTGTGCGCCCATGTACGATGCAGCGTATGAGTAATATTACTTGCTGCTCATATTTCATAAAAAAAAAGAATCATTACCCATATTCATTTGGCCATTCGCAACTTTTTTATTTTTCCATCGATTTTTTCGTTAGTAGCATGAATTTTTTCGTAAAAGAACGTGCTTTAATTCAAATGAAAAAAAAATAAAAAAAATTTCCTACAGTGTAATTACACTGGATCAAAAATTTTAGTTTCGTTTTGTTCTCCAGGCTCCGCTTTTTTAGAGTTTTAATTGGTAATAGCAAAAATATGGTTCATTATGCTCTAAAAAATATCTGTGTGAAATGTGAAAGTTTTTGGTCAATATCCTAAGCTCGCCCAAGTCCATCAAAGTTCAAGTACTAAAAAAAAATTTTTCTTAGCTAACTTCGATTCTCTACAAAAAAGGTCCATATACCTAATTATGTGGGACTAATGGGGAAGATTATTGCAATTTTAGTAAAAAAATGTATTACTTAATTTATTTATTAATTTTTAATTTTTGGCCATATTGAACTTTGATGGACTTGGGCGAGCCTAAGATATTGACCAAAAATTGTCATATTCCACACAGATTGTTTTTAACCGACTTCCGAAAAAGGAGGAGGTTATCAGTTGGTCGGAATATATATATTTTTTTTTTTTGGTATGTATGTTACCGCATAACTTTGCACCACGTCAACCGATGTGAATAATTCTTTTTGCAACGGAAAGGTAGTGTCTCAGAGGTGGTCCCATACTAATTTGGTATAGATCCGATCATTGGATCATGAAATATATAGATATATATATATATTTTTAAGTCGGTTGTTTTTTGCTAAAAATTACTTGATAGAGCATAGTGAACCATATTTTTGCTATTACCAATCAAAATTCTAAAAAAGCGGATTTTCAGCCCACGCTAATGTACATCACTTCCCGATAAGACTTACAGTTTCTGACAAATTAATTAATCATTCCAGTTTTTTTTTTTATTTTTTAATGAAAATATTTAAAAAAAATCATACTTTAACAGAAGAAAAATTAAAAAATAACAGGTTCTGTGCCAAATTTTTGCCGCTAAGCTAAAGCCTGTTTTGTTACAAAAAAATCAAGTTACTTCTAAAGAAAATCGATGGATAAATAAGAAATAATGAGTGGTCAAATGAAAATGCGCAAAGATTTTTTGTATGAAATATGAGCAGAAAAGTGTGTACACAGGTGTACGTGGCGTATGTGTAACTTTCCTTCCTGCTCATTCTTTATTTATCCCTCTCTTTCCTTCAATAGTAATTTGATTTTTTTGTAACAGAACAGGCTTTAGCTTGGCGGCAAAAATTTGTCACAGAACCTGTTATT